TTTTCAGCCGCTAGGTGGCAATCGGTGGTATGGTATGCCGTTGTGTCATGTAATATGTAAAAGTGGGTATTAATGGCACAATCGGCTTGTCATAGCCTGCCACCTTTGTCCAGCTCGCCTGGCGCAACCGTCAAACCAGCTTCATTTCGCTGCGCCGCCCCGGCGAAATGCAGCTGGTTTGACCATTGAAGTGCATTTATTAAGTAAAAGTTTAACTGAGACACACATTCGCTATAATGTCGAGCAAACTAATAATTGTTTTAGGTGCTTATCTTGTTAAATTTTGAAGAAATGAACAGCGACTCATCCCTCTGCGCTCATCTGCAAATCGGGTTTTGAAATGCAGATGATTTGACTGTCAAAGTACATTTATTAAGCAAAAGTTAGACTGAGACACACATTTGATATAATTTTGAGCAAACAGATAATTGCTTTTAAGTGTTAATCTTGTTAAACTATTGTTAAAGTCCTCCCATGCACGCTCCCGCGGCCGACATTTGACAGCCAATCGATTTTTGGCACAACACCGACCCACAGCGGACAATATGAGAATGAAATGAGAAAGCTCCTCGGATGAATAGCGAAACGTCTTCTGTTACAAATAAAGTCCAGCTGTTTTTGTATTGAACGTTTTTTAGTTTATCATGTCCTGGATGACTGAGAATCTTCACCGGCGGAAAATATGGTAATTTGTTGTAGCTGTACATCCAATGTGTCCAATGACTAAAGAGATATTTTGCTAATTGAACAGACCAAAAAAATACATAAGGACACTGTTGATAATAAAAGCTCAGTTTCAGTTGAGACAGAGAGAAGAGTCATATTTGAGACACATTTGAGACAAAAAGAGACAGAAAGTCTGGCTTTTTTCTCTAGACACTAATGGATGGGTTCGGGAGGACGAGGAGACACCAGACTACAAGAATCCATGTCAAGTGAGCAGGCAGGGAGTATTTCCCTGCACTCCTCAAACAACAGTCGGGTGAAATGTCAGGCTGTCAAAACACTGATTAGCGATCGCCAGGTTTTAAGCACTTTCAGCAGGCTGCAGCTGTGCAGAGCGCAGCAGCAAAGGCTGCGCAATTTTGTAAAATGCTGAGTAACAAAAAGCTAATTAGTGCAACACATGTAATTAGCCGTTGCCCTTGTATGGCCGTCTCATCAGCACTGCTTTACTGCTACAAAGCTTTAAGGGAAAAGTTCTCTTACTTTGTTCAGAAGCTGCAGGTGAGCTTGAAGATTTGATCTTGAGGTATTGGATAATACTTGTTGCTGCTTGAGACAAATATCTACATTTTCCCACAAAAGTAAATGTGTTTGTCTCATTTGGTGTACAAACATACCGTTGCGTACAAATTCAGTGTCAGCTTGTGTAGACAGTACATGTGCCGTCTTTCCGTCTCTGTTAAAGACGTGACCTTTCTCCCATTGCACTTCCAGTAAGATCCTGTCTGGCAGTCTAGAAAACCAAACAATCCAGTCCTACAGAGCCTGCTTGTGTTTGCACCCATCCTCGTAGCTTCTGAAAACATCCAAATTTGATTTCAGACTGAGTCTACAGGAACCTTTAGCCTGTTTAGTGAATCAGACGCTCTTCTGTCTTGTCTCGCAGCCTGCCTGGCTGCCTGGCTGGCCGGCTGGTTGCAGAGAGAGGCCCCAGGAGAGCAAACAGATGGAAAGAAAGGAACTTCACACACACACAAATTTTCAAACACTTGAAGATGACTTGAATTAATTGCACTATTTCGTTCCCAATGTATCTGGGATTGTACACCAAATATATTTTTTTAATTTTATTTTCCTCGTAGGACTTAATGCTCCTGTGGTTTGTCAGACAGAGGTTTAAAAAAAAAGCTAAACAGCAGCACTAATTAATGTGGTGCGGCTGACAAGTGTTGCTGCTGAAACAATTTCATTACATCACCGATTTAAATTAGCGAGGAAGGAGACACTGGAGGGTGCACTCATTCGAGATGTGTTTGCACACTTTCTTCGACAGACATAAAGGGAGTGGACCTCCGAACAAACACCTTGCAATCCAATGCAACACTTTTGCAATGAATCTAAAACACACTTTTATGCCTGCTTCACTTCATTAGTGACAGTGTTAGGACTCTTTGAAGGGGATTTCTGGAGATTTGTTTCTTTTAGAAGCTTTTTTTTTTTTTTTTTACCTGCAATTTGATACCAAGGACATGTTCATTATGATATAAAGACAACGATAAATGTGTTGTTACACTTGCAGCTCACTGAAACAATGGTTTATTTCTTATTTTAACCCAATTAAAAGCAAATATATGTATATCTGTGATTTTAGCAGGTGATAAAGTAATTGTTGTTTATTTAAAAAATATATTTGAAAAATAGCATGGACAGATTTGTGGGTCCCTCTAAAGAGACTATTAACCCTTGCATAATACAGTCAAGGATTCAAGGTTCCTTATTTGTCATACACACCACATGTGGTACATGTGGTGGAACAAAATTGTGTACACAGGGTCCCAGTTACATCCAACAAAAGTATAAAATGTAAAAGCAAAACGGTAATAAGATCTAAGATATGAACTAAAAATATCTTTAAAAATACATTTAGCACTAGTAGCATAAAAACAATGTGCCAAACAGCAGCACGAACATGAGTCTGTGTGAGCAGATGAGCATGAATGAACACAGCAACATGAAATAAATCAGAAGCATGATGTGATTTTTTTTTTTACAGTGCTTATTCTGGTTAGAGATTCATGAGTCTAACAGCTTCAGGGTAGAAGCTGTTCCTCAGTCTAGTGGTTCTACACTTAATGCTCCTCAACCTTATGCCTGAGGGGAGCGGGGCAAACAGTGTGTGTGCTGGGTGAGTGGGGTCCTTCATGATGCAGGTGGCCCTCTTCCTGCATCTGGAGGTGTAAGTGTCTGTGATGGTGTTTAAAGCAAAGTGTTTGGCCTCATTTACTCTCATAGGTGCCTTACAGCTTTTAGTAATTAACCCTTTAGCCTATTTAAAAGGGATCAACCATATCACTGGGTAGCTTGGTATCAATATGTGCATCACACTGATCATGGAGCGGAGACAGCAAAGGCCAGAGCTGTCTGAGGAGCTCAGAAGATGATTATAGATATCCATATTACAGGTAAAGACTTCAAAAACCATCTCCAAGCAGCTTCATGTTCCTCTGACCACAACTGCCAATATATACTGTAAGTCCATAGGAGTGTCAACCTTGCAGGATGGGGCTGCAAGAAAGAAATGCAACCCCAGATTGATCAGATAGATAATGCTGATGGTAGAAAAAGAGCTGACGAAATTATCCCAAATCATTTAACTTCAATGTAAAAGAATATCACACTCTGATCATACTATTCATCACATTTTGAATCATAATAGGCTTCAAGAAATAAACCCCCAGGAGACCTACACTATTGGCAGGGAAAAAAGGCCAGAGGAACAATTCACCAAAAAACATCTTGACAAGTGCCAACATTTCTGAAAATGCTGAGACAAAACTGGCGTTTTCTGGCCAGTCACATAAGTTGTGTGTCTTTTAGGTTTTTTTTTTTGGTATTATTATTATTATTATTATGGAAGTGTACCAACAAATCTATCCATGTGTGCACATAAGAGGAGATAATGGTGAACATGTTTAACACTACAAATCGTTAGAAAGGCAAAAATTGGGAAATAAATGTGATGGTGTTGTTGAACGTTGTGACGACTTGTGATAAACTTGTATTTCCCTTACGCCGCTCTGTCTTCTCCTGCCAACACAATGCTCACAACACTTTCCATGTACTTCAGGACTTCAGCCAATGTCATCTAAATCTATGAAGGCATTTGGAGCAATGATAGAGGTGGGGTGGGGGGGTCCAGTTGGCAAATATATGATTGGAATACAGCAATATTTTGCCATATCGATATTCAAACAGAACCTTGCAGTCAAACAGATTGTGATCTTTTGCCCCTTCTAGAACCTTCAGCTGTCCTGTAGTGGGGTAAAGGGTAATTAAAGAGAAACCAGTCTCCTCCTCCTCCTCCCATCCTGCACCCTCCTCCTCCTCCTCCTCCTACTCTGCCCTGGCTGGCCTCACATCCAGACAGCAGCAGGAATTTAACTGGGAGGGTCCGCCAGACTAAAGACACCACGGAGTCAAGCACAGTCAGAAAACGTGCCACAGATCTGTGCAGGAGGAAATAAGAAAAATAAAATGCAAGGGCGACTATGTGGTGCACTGCAAGGTTTCAGGGTGGGCCTTCTGTCTGAGCAGTGTCTAATTGAAATACCAATTAAACACACTCTCTGTGCTGATGGGGTCTGCAGCAACATACAAATAGATCACATGAACTAAACATGGCTGCTAGAATGAGAAGTGTCCAAAAGAGGCACGAATGCCCCAACTTGCATTAACACGGTCTGCATGGTAGAAAAGCAGCTGAAGGTGCTACACATGGCAGGAGCTGCATTACAGGTGTTGTATAACACAAGAGCAGAGTAACACTTGGACATGGCAGATAATTGCATTACAACAGGTAGCCCATAATAGCTCGATGGGAGTCAACAAGCCCAGACACACAGCTGACTGTTCACTAAGTATTCTCAGTTTAGCATCACCCAAGCCACCAGCTGATCCACAGGCTGGGGGGGGAACAACTCACCCACGCTCATAATCAACCTGCAGCCACCGAGAACCAGTCCTCTTTAGAGAAGCGCACGCGCCTTTCCTGAAACCATCCCGCAGACTTTGGCCGTCGTTTCGCTGCGGCTCAACTCCTCTTCTCAACAAGCTTTGAAATACAGCGCTCAGTCCTGATATTACCAAATTCTGTCTAGCTCCACTCTCCCCACCCACCCTGACACGAGTTCACGAGCGGCTGTTCAAAGGTTTCCAGGAGGTCAACCTATTGTTAGCAGGTAGTCTGTCCAGCAGGAGGCGAGCCCCCCCTTTACACACACACACACCTCGTTCTGCAGCGTATTATCACATAAAAAGAGAAGCGCGAAACTTACTTTTAGGTGAAAGCTCAGAGGCGAAGCCGCGTTATTGTCTCCTCCAAACCGCGTGTTTACGGCGCACCTCTCCTCCGCTCCCTTCACTTCACAAAGAAGACGTGGGAGCGCTGAAGCCAGTGTGACTGACTGACTGCCTGACTGACTGAATCAACTACCGTGCAGCACGGCAAGTTGAAGTGTCAGATTACACTGGCTATTTTGTTACCACAGAGCCGTGCGCGGCGGACGGCTGGAAAACACGGACTAGATTTACGGAGCGGAAGGACACGGCGTGTAAAAGTGTAGTGACACGCATAGAACCTGTTCATTAGAGGATACAATAATACTACCATACAATACAACTTTATTTATAAAGCAGTTTAAAAACAACACCGTTTAACAAAGTGCTGGACACTAACACATACAATAAAAATATATATATATAAAATAATTTGAAACCGTAAAAATAATGAACTGTTAAAATCATAAAAACAGTCAAAAAAAAAAACAAACAGCAGATTTGTTCTGCATCTGTTGTTTTAGCCATGTTTATTGTTGTTGTTGTTTAATGTAAAATCCAAGTGGTCATTTTCTTTCTGAAGAAAAAAAAATACTTTATTTAAAATTCAAAGGAGATCATTCACTATTTGTTTACAAAACTTAAAAAATAAAGGCCATTGTAAGCACACAAAAAAGCATTATTATTATTGCTGTTGTTAATACTAATATGAGGTTGTTGTTATTGTTGTTGTTGTTGTTGTTATTATAGTACATTATTATTATCATTATTGTTGTTATTACTTATATGTTGTTGTTGTTGTTGTTGCTGTTGTTGTTATTGTTATTATTATACATTATTATTATTATTACTGTTGTTGTTGTTGTTGTTGTTGTTGTTGTTGTTGTTGTTGTTGTTGTTGTCGTCGTCGTCGTTGTTGTTGTTAAATGTCAAATTGAAAAGATCATATAGTTTCTGACGCAAATTATACTTTAGATTCAAAAGAAATTATTCACTATTTGTTTACAAAACTTAAAAAAGAAAGTCCATTGTAAGCACAAAAAAAAGCATTATTGTTATTATTAGTGTTGTTGTTGTTGTTGTTGTTGTTGTTGTTGTTGTTGCTGCTGCTGTTATTATTATTATTATTAATATTGTTATTATTATTATTATTACCTTATTATTGTTGTTATTATTACTGTTGTTGTTGTTAAATGTCAAATTGAAAAGGTCAGTTTCTGAGGCAAAATTATACTTTATTTAAGAATACTGTTTAATTCAATTCAATTCAATTCAATTCAAATATACTTTATTAATCCCAAAGGGAAATTATTTAAACACTGTAAGCACACAAAAAACATTATTATTACTGTTATTATTCTTACATTAATTATTATTATTATGCGTTTTTGTCCATTTGATGGCTTTTGTTATTAGAAATCAATTAACATTTCACCCGACATGGTCCTTGTTGCGTCATTAAATAATATTTTTGAGCGTGTTTACTTCTGTCAAAATTGTGAGGCCTGATAAATATTACGCTTGGATCAACTCATCCGTATTAAACCAGAGTTGTGTGAGTTTCTGCAGTCCAGCACCTTTACCTGCGAGGTGCGCTCAACTCTCCTTAGCCATTGTGTCGAGCCATAACAGCAAATTGAACAATTAGACACAAAAATGTGGAGACAAAAAAAGAAGTGTCAGCTTTAAGAAAACTCTATAGTAGCTGAACAGTATATCTTTAAGAAACAAAACAAATAAAATCCATCAGAACCCCTTCAGTTGACAGTCACATGACAAGTTATTTTCTTGACGCTACAGTGTGTAAAACTGTATTTTTCTTGTGTTTTTTTAAACATTCAGCCTAAAAATTAAAACAATTTGTCTCATTGTGACAGGCTGCTATAGTGACAAAGTGTCTAAGAAACATGTTATGGCTTATTATTTGAGTTTATGAAGTATTTTTGTGCCTGAAGACGTCTCAGTGTTGACAATATTCACAAAATAAAGGCAGATGGAATAAAAAGTTGTCATATTGTCAGGCGCTGGACTGTATTGGATCAAATATTGAATTCAAAATAGTTTTTTATTTAATCCTACATTTATCCTGTAAGTAACAAGACGCTTCTTAGTCCATTGTTGGATGTGTCACCTTGTTTAATGTCATTTACTCCAGTGTTATTCATGTCGGTCAGTGTGGGGATCTTAGCTCCGCTCCAGTGTAGTGGCGGCCGGTGACCGGGTTTTGCGGGCAGCCGGCCTCTGGTGGAAGTCTCTGAATAACAAAGACGTGTTTGAGAGCAGCGGCAGGCTGGGCTGAGCGGTGACGTCAAGGAACAATGTCTCTCCTCCCGGCACGCACGCACGCACGCACGCCTGCAGACGAGCTCTTTCCTCCCCTCTCCTCCCTTCCCAGGCAGGCAGGGCTGAACTGCCCCAGAGGGAGGGCCTCCTCAGATGGAACCACTCACTCCTCATGGGTTACTTCATGCTGCGTGTCATTTAAAATAATTAAAGCATAAGTTAGGACAGAAAAAAAAGCTAATAAATCACTTGCCCAAAAATGTGAATTAAATTAAAAATAAATGCATTTTTATTTAATTAATTTGTCCAAGAGGCCGGTGAAGCCCTTCAGCTCCTCTCCTTTATGAGGAGCAGAAAGATGCTGCCATCTTTTAGCTTCCTGCCTGCAGGGCTCCTGACACTGATGCAGTATGGGCCTCTGAACAGGCTATCAGCAGTAAAATAAAAAATAAAAAAAAGTAGTGGGGGTGTGGGGGGCGGTCTGTATCTGTCTCAAGGACACCCCAGCCCTCTGGTCAAAGCAGCTATCCACACTGATGGGGACAAATGCAAGCAAGAAACATCCTCACCGCCTCTGACAGTCACTCATTTTTATTTCAGCTGGGGTGGAGTGGAGTGTGGGAGGGGGGGGTCGGTTTCTTCCGTGGATTAACTGGGTGAGCCGTCAATGTCAACGATGTAGCTGTGAGCTCATGATCAGGTTTTTCCCCTCTCTCTTCCTCTCTCTCTCTCTGAAAATGGCTTGTTCAATGACCCTTGTCTTTGTCCTGACTCTGCTTCAGCTATTGATCTTTGTCACCTGCTACGTTGCATCAGTAATATTGATGCTGACACCATGAGACGCTTTGGGCTGTTGCAACAAAGGTGATCATGTTTTTGCCCGTGTCTGTGTTGACTTCTCTACCGCATTAGCAAAGTATCTCATGAAGCAGCTGAACAGGTTGTAAGGAATCCCACAGAATGTAACCATCAACCATCTACAATTAACTTTTGGAGTTAACACCAATCCAGATGGCTCAATTTTAGGAAACACAAAAGTAGGAATAACTCAGTTTTACAGTTATTGACCTCAGATTGTATGTGAAAGTTGCTCAGAGTCGTCCCTAACACAAACTCCAAGCACTGACCCATCGCTTAAGATCTGTCTTTAAAACTTTGCCATTAATCACTGGAGTCAATTGTGTCTGTCTGTTAGCACAATATCTCATGAGCCGCTGGGCTGATTTTAATTAAATGCACAGGATCTAACTACTTTACATACATGTGCAATTTCTTATATTTTGAAATGAATCTGATTTAAGATGGCTGCCACAGCCAACTGATTTTAGGAAGCACGGTTATGACTATAACCCAGCCGTCTATAGACAATAAGCTAAATCGTGGTGCAGTCGTGACTGAGCACCATTGCCAACACATATTTGGAGAGCTACTGTAAACATTGCGTCATATTTTAGCTTAAATCTTTGACATCATCTCTGACATCAACTCTGTCTGTCTGTTAGCAAAATATCTCATGTCCCACCCAACAGATTATGATGGAACTCCTAAAACAAAAGCATTAGATTAACATGTGAAGTCAACCCAATTCAAGATGGCTGCCACAGCTAACGGACCTTAGCCAACGCAAAAATAGATGCAACTCTGCCAGTTTTGCAGATGTTGAGCTAATTTTGAACGTGGTAGTACCTGAGAGTCATACTCTGAGCACTGTCACGTTTCACAAGACCGCGTGAGACCCCAAGAACTCGGGATCAGAGAGTGACAGATTTTGCTGTTTAGCTTTCAGTCCGATCTTAATATGATTTTTTCTGGTTCATCCATCAAGTTTTTGTTTAATAGGAGCTCAAGGGAATGAGGGATGTGGCGGGTGCCGGTGGGGGCCTGCAGCTGGTCAGGTCACTCCGCAGTTCAAAAGATGGGTTGCTGTCAAAACTCTTTGCTTTCATTACATCCCATGTGCTTCAGAGTCTGCGAAATAATATAGCCAGATGGCTGCCAATAAGATGGATGGATTGTAGGTGGAGTGACTTCAGCACGACTTGTTTAATTTCACATGAGCTGTGTTTTCAAGGCTGAGTGAATGCATTAAAGGAGAACAAGACAAAAAAATAGCTCCAACAAGAACACCACGTTGTGTTTTAGTGTATTAAATTAACATATAAATGCTGTTTACGCTTAAAATATTAGTGACAATCAAAGCTTCCGACTTGTGTTTGAGCATGAAATGATGTTCCGTTTCTCTTCGCCACCTTTCTGCTGGTGACAACCATTCTGTGTGTAGAAGCGACGGGGGGGCTGTGATGGATGCTTCTTCCAGCTACATGATGGAGGGAGAGTTTCAGTTGTGCTGACATCAGCTCGCTCATTCACGTGGAGGTGTGATGGTTTACAGTCACACCCCCCTGCTGTTGTCGCCTCCGATGGGCTCCTGCCGCTGAAGACTTAAAGATGGAATGAAACAAATCCTCTTGTCTGAAGAAGAATGAGTGACGGATTAAAAAAAAACTACTGTGAAGTTAAAACAGTGTAACACACCTGCTCAAACTTGAAACTTTTCATCAAACTGCTTTTAAGCATAGCATTTAGTGAAATGCTGCAGTTGTTGTTTTGTGTACATCACTGGAAAACGGTAAAGAGTTTCACATTCTCCTCTGTGTTTTTAATAAAACACGCCACGTAGAGTTTAATTTGTTCATGAAATTATCTAAAATGTTTTGTCATACGATCATCATACGACTGAAACACGACGTCGAGCAAAACAAACAAAGGAAAAAAAAATCCTATGATGTTTAAGATGATGCAAAATGTCTAAAAGGCTTTTTTTTTTATTAATTTATTTTATTTTATTCAAACTAGCAGTAATCAGAGTTGGAGTCAGGATCCAGTTTGGACGTCCTTGAACGATTTCCAGAAATCAAACAAATA